GGTGTGTGTATATATGTTAATGTTCCAATGAGATTCGCCAATGATATATTTCTTTATGAAGCCTTTTATTCTTTACCATATCATTTGCGTCCCATTAGAAACCATTAATAGCACATATCCACTTTCGACTAATAGTGCTTCTTGAATCGACACCGCTTCGACCTTAAATGTTTAGGCTGTAGGTTAATGACGACCTATCGGGGTCCGTTTCCAACAATACTGTTAAATGCATCAAGCAGGTCAACAAGATAAAAAAGAACGACGAACTTAAGTAGATAAACTGAGGAGCAAAAGAAACCATACCAATCAGTTGATTCTATCTTATGTTTGATTGTAAATGGAAAATAACTAAAGTTAGCTGTATCGTATCCAAAAACGAACTATACTTAGGCAAAGTCAGCGCTCAAAGAATATTTATACATGGAAATACTTATAAAAATATAATTAATTTAAAAAGTTTAACATATTAAAAAAATCACCTAATTCGCATTTACTGATGAGTATCTTAAACATCTTATCTTTGAAAAGCAATAAAGCAGTTGTCAGTTTGTGCTTTTTTAGCACAGATTGACAACAATTCAAACCTGTGGTTGTACATTCATTTCTTACGACAGTATCCATTGTACCAATATATATATTTTAACAAAATAAAAAATAAATTACCTTTTACAAATTGTTGCAGGAATGAGTCTTGGTTAAACAGACATAAATAAATTCTACAAAAGTTCTTTCAATTTTTCAATTATATAAAAATTCGGTATACTTTCTTTTGCCCCTCAGCTTATGACAATATATATGACGAACATATATTCGCAACATCCTACAAGGAAAGCCCGAAGTGATGCTGGTCTCAGACGTTAAGCACTTCGGTGAAACCCACGAGCATGGGCATGGTGCTGACAAACCTGGAAACATAATCAGGGCGAACCTGGATTCGAACCCACAATTATAAGTTTCTGACATGCCAAGGGACGCAACTCTGCACAGCGAATCGCGGCGTCTTAGACGACTTGGCCATTTGTTTTGAGAGAATCCTTTATTTGAATTTAGAGACTCCTCTTGAGTAGGCTAAACAATTTTATCATGAATGATTGCTTTTTTCACAATTTACAGCTTTTAATGAAAATACTTGCTGGTAGTTCTAGTCGATCTCCTTAGTCTCATATACCACGCTAGTTATATCAAATATCATTTCATTAACCAATTTCTTTATTGATACGTTAATTTTTTACGTTAAGCACACGTCATGTCAACATTTGATTGGCGAAACAGTGATGGAAGATTTACGTCTCATTAAACGGAACCAACAAGTTTGATGTATTCTTAATTTATCTCACTGGCCTCCACTGTTTAAACGACGTAGCCTGCATCCATCACAAACACACACAAAGGCAAGCCAATCGTTCATCTTAAAAACACGGGAATAAAAAAACCTGCCAAACTGAGAATCGATTGTACGATTACGACTATATCATGAGCAAATGTTTATGAATCACTATCAAATAGTGATAATACCAGGTGTTGCGAAAAGGGGAGCGTATCCTGCCCGACCGGAGGCATCCGCCACAAACACATGCAAAGGCAAGTCAATTATCAACGTAAAACATACACGGGAACATATGGTATCATTTTTGTCACTGAAGCATCAAATTTGGAAATGTCTACCATAGAACTCTTAAAAAGCTTAACTGAGGCCTTGAATGTTGTAATCTTGATCAAACTGCTTCTGAGGAAGACTCGTATGACATTCTTTGAAATCATGCTCGATTGCATCGCAAAAGCTTGATCTGCAGGAATATTGCTTCACACAAAAGGAAAGTTGACCATTGGAAAGTTGTCATGTCATGGCATGTGTTGCTCGCCGTGATATTGCTATAAAAAAACCATGAAGATCCGGGCTAGAAAAGGTCTTCAGCAACCCATGCTTGTCGTAAAAGGCGACTAAGCTTGTCGTAAGGAGCGACTAACGGGATTGGGTGGTCAGGCTCGCTGACTTGGTTGATGCATGTCATGGCATCCCAATTGGGTAGATCGATGCTCATGTTGTCAATCACCGAATTGTCTGGTCCAGACTCGATTATTTACAGACCGCCGTCATATAGCTGGAATATTTCTGAGTGCGGCGTTAAACAACAAACAAAACAAAACAAACTAACGCACCTGAAACTCCAAAATTTCCATTGGAAACGAATCTGAAAATGAAATTACCTTAAGAGGACAATCATATATTTATATTTCGTCTAAAAGTTGTTGATCGATCTCACTCTCCTTGCAAAAGACCCTATATGGAATTTCCTTTAAAGGAGGACATACAATCATCTATTTATAATACATCTTAAAGTTGTTGATCGAACTCACTCTCATGACAAAATACCTTATATAGAATTTCCTTTAAAGGATGACAAACAATCGTCTATCTATAATACGTCTTAAAGTTGTTGATCGATCTCACTCTCCTTGCAAAAGACCCAAAATAGAATTTCATTTTAAGGAGGACAAACAATCATCTGTTTATAATACGTCTTACAGTTGTTGATCGATCTCACTCTCCTTGCAAAAGACCCAAAATAGAATTTCCTTTAAAGGAGGACAAACAATCATCTATTTATAATACGTCTTAAAGTTGTTGATCGATCTCACTCTCCTTGCAAAAGATCCTATATAGAATTTCCGTTAAAGGAGGACAAACAATCATCTATTTATAATACATCTTAAAGTTGCTGATCGATCTCACTCTCCTTGCAAAAGATCCTATATAGAATTTCCTTTAAAGGAGGACAAACAATCATCTATTTATAATACGTCTTAAAGTTGTTGATCGATCTCACTCTCCTTGCAAAAGATCCTATATAGAATTTCCTTAAAAGGAGGACATACAATCATCTATTTATAATACGTCTTAAAGTTGTTGATCGATCTCACTCTCCTTGCAAAAGACCCAAAATAGAATTTCCTTAAAAGGAGGACATACAATCGTCTATCTATAATACGTCTTACAGTTGTTGATCGATCTCACTCTCCTTGCAAAAGATCCTATATAGAATTTCCTTTAAAGGAGGACAAACAATCATCTATTTATAATACGTCTTAAAGTTGCTGATCGATCTCACTCTCCTTGCAAAAGATCCTATATAGAATTTCATTTAAAGGAGGACAAACAATCATCTATCTATAATACGTCTTAAAGTTGTTGATCGATCTCACTCTCCTTGCAAAAGATCCTATATAGAATTTCATTTAAAGGAGGACATACAATCATCTATTTATAATACGTCTTAAAGTTGTTGATCGATCTCACTCTCCTTGCAAAAGGCCCAAATAGTATTTCATTTAAAGGAGGACAAACAATCATCTATTTATAATACGTCTTAAGGTTGTTGATCGATCTCACTCTCCTTGCAAAAGACCCAAAATAGAATTTCCTTTAAAGGAGGACAAACAATCATCTATTTATAATACGTCTTAAAGTTGTTGATCGATCTCACTCTCCTTGCAAAAGATCCTATATAGAATTTCCTTTAAAGGAGGACATACAATCATCTATTTATAATACGTCTTAAAGTTGTTGATCGATCTCACTCTCCTTGAAAAAGACCCAAAATAGAATTTCCTTTAAAGGATGACAAACAATCATCTATTTATAATACGTCTTGAGGTTGTTGATCGATCTCACTCTCATGACAAAAGACCCTATATGGAATTTCATTTAAAGGAGGACATACAATCATCTATTTATTATACGTCTTAAGGATGTTAATCGAACCCACTCTCCTTGTAAAAGACCCTGTAGGAGTTCTGGATAACCGACACCTCACGTGTGGCGTAAGATCCCCCTAAAGAGGTGATTGGCCTGGGTATTTAGACTTATTGCATATTGTGTGTCATCGTACCAAGACGATGTGGGATATTGATATTTCTATCAACTATTGGATTTGTTCAATATGAACACCGTTATACAGCAGGGCTATAATTACAGACAGCGGCGGTAAACAAAACAAAGGGTGTATGCTAAATACATGACTTTCTTAATGTGTGGATATTAAAAATGTATGAGGTTGTAATGAAACATATTCAATCTCCGCTTGGCCTTGTGCAAGGCGAGAACACGTATTGCATTGCGGGTTCTCTTATTGGTATGATCCGTACTCTGAGACATAATTCTTTATCCGGTAATTCCTAAATCCATGTACCTATTTAGACAGGTGAATAAAATATTTCGAATGATATGTTCTCTGATGTCCATAGAAATTGATGTCTGTAAACAAAACCCCGCAGACATATGGCCAAATATCGCCCATCATGACATTTCTGTTAGAATGCAAAATTATTTGTAAAGAAAGTCACTTGTAATTAATAATTTCTTCACAAAAAATTCAATATCACAAGCGTTACAGACAAAGATGTGTCGAAGACTCTAAAAAGGATGCTACATATCCATTCCTATAGCTAGCGGGTGAACAGTATCCTTACTTTGGAGTGGAAATTTAGTTTTTAAAGTGACAATGCTGCTGGTGGTACATCACGCCAAATAACACCAATATGCGTATACAATGACACTTGTCACTGTTTGGGGGTACCCTTTTTTCCGGGGGATTTTTCAATAAACACAAATGGTGGTCACCAAACATTTGTTTTCTTTATTATCATTTTTTGACATTATCTACATATAGTTTATGGTCTTAATGTTATCCACATTTGATGTACAACATGCGTTTCTTTTGTGGAGTATATTATATGACCACATGCATATAAGTAACATTACATCTATGTAATCTATTCCTCGAAATAATGCAAATCGATACAAATTCAAAAGAACACCATTGTAATCTTTAGGTGGTAAAAGCTGTGATTTCCTTCAGTCGAACCGACCCGGTGAAGATCCGGGTTAGAATAGTTCTTCAGCAACGCATGCTTGCTGTAAAAAGGCGCCTATGTTGTCATAATAGGCGACTAACGGGATTGGGTGGTCAGGCTCGCTGACTTGGTTGGTGCATGTAAGCGTATCCAAATTGCGTGGATCGATGCTCATGATGCCAATCACTGGATTGTCTGGCCCAGACTCGATTATTTAGAGACCGCCGTCATATAGCTGGAATATTGCAAATAAACAAACAAAACAAACAGTCGAATCTGTTTCAGTGGTTACAACCTGAACCAAAGATATCTAATTATCCAGTTTACCACTTATCCCAGAATTACTACACTTCTTATAGTCACGACGTTTCAATGCAAAGAATAGATCCATATCAATTTGTAAAACAAGTTCAGTAATTTAAAAATCATCCAAATACCTGTCGCTGTTTTACACAAGACACAGTTCACAGACAAGGGTGATAAGAATATGAATAACAGTGAGTGCGTGAGTTGGGTTTAACGCCACTTTGAAAAGTATATTATAGTTATATCACGGCATGTCAGCTCAATGTGAGAGGAAAGGCCGAAGTGATGCAGGTCTCAGACGTTTACCACGTTTGTGAAACCAGCGAGCACGGGTATGATGCTGACAAACCTAGAAACATAATCATGGCGAACCGGGATTCCAACCCACAGGGATAGGTTTCTGGACGCATCTGTGCACAGCGAAATGTGGCGAAATACATGAAGAGCCATTCGAATATAAAGATATGGTAGTAGCATTCAAGGGAACCCAGGCTGTTTTATAAGGCACAAGAAAATTTTATAGCTAGGGATAAATTTGACATTTTTAAGTGGATGTAGGTTCTTTGAAAAGCGACTGAGAATCTGCTCCTGTCATGAATACAATGTGTTGGAGCAGGATGAAGACTACAATGTATAAGTGTATATAATAGCTATCAGTCTACCAGTAGCCACAACAATATCCTGTCATATAACGTATAATCATGATTATCAAATATTGTTTCTCAAAGATTGCTGTAGCTTTGACACGTTCATGCCTAAGCCAACGCATGAGCGATTTGAGGGACAAAATATGTGCCGATTGAACTTTGTACCCACAAAAGTGCACCCGTCAAATCGGCAGTTTTATTCATAGTTTATGGTTGACTGAAACCTCGGACTTCGGCGACCTCGCCATTTTACAAGACGTTTTGGAACAAATACATTAAAACACTCTTGTCGGAACCTTTTGCTCATGAACCCGTAAACAAGGGGGTTTGTCATAGAACTGAGGAAGTAGAACCGAATAAAGATTCTACTCAAAACTCCACTAAGAGGCCATTTCTGATCGGGAACACTACGGACCGCCATGATGATTCCAGGGGGCAGATAACTCAACAAGAAGACGACTGTCACGGTAAAAGCAATGAAGGTGATTCGTTTACCGCTGGTCATCTCACGTTTTGGTGTTCCATTTGGTTCGTCTTGTGTATCTTCACTTTGATGGTTTGGACTTGTACTTGTAATGTTAAGTTTCCTTGAATTATCAAGGAGGACGAACTGCGTTTTCTTCCGAATGTTCATTTCATGTTTCCGTATTTCTCTCCAAACGTGGATATAAATATAACATAAAATTCCACAGGTCATAATTATACCTACCCCCAAAAGTAACTGGAAAATAAAACGGAATACTGAACCCGTAATTGTGTCACTAGATTTACAATCCTGTCCATACAGTCCATCTGTGCTTGTTTCCACTGTTTCAGATCCGTATATCAGCAGAGCTGGCAAAGACAGAAGTATAGCAGCAGCAGTTGCTATGGTAACATACTTCCTGGAGTCCCTAAATGTCATTTGAATTGACATGGGCTTACACACCCGTTTGTATCTGTCTATTGTAATGATCAGCAACACAAAGGCTGAGTCGATGTTGGGAAATGCTACAATAAAGCGAAATATTTTACATGTTACTTCACTCTCAAAAAGGTAAAAATAGCGCATGTCCATGATTTCGAAGGGCATGGCCAATGTGCAGTTCACCAAGTCCAGTGCCGCGAGGAAGACGAGAAGAAACGTATTGACAGACAAAGGGATCTTTCTTGTGAATATGTAGCACACTAAAATGTTCCCAAAGAATCCAGTCACCATTATAAATCCTACAAACGCCATGACAGGGATTAGAGTCTTTGCCATGTTTTCGTTTTCCTCCCACAAGAGGTCCTCCAGTGATACTGAATCATTTGGTTGGCTGATGTTGAATGCCGTCATGATGGTTTTCAGAGATGATGCCTTGAAAATGTCTGGAACCGGAGAATATGTTTCTTAAGTAAACACACCAACATGTAACATTTATATAACAAATATTATATTCAGGATAACACATTCTCATTACAGTACGTATTCTAGTACATTTTGGGGTTCCATCCGGGTGAGGTGAGGTGAAATTGGGTTTTAACGTCGCGTCCAAGATTATTGCACTTATATAGCGACGTGCATGCACGTGTATGTGTGTGTGTGGCTGCTTGTACTAGTCCGGACTGATGCCGATTTATAGTGCTAGCTCACTGAGATATCATGCCGCAGTTTAACATGAATACCCCACTCAGACACAGTATACTGACTCCGAGTCGACCAGTCCTTGTTTTAGCCCCTCAATGCCGAGCGCCAGACAGGGTAACAACAAGTACAATCTTTTAACGTCTTTTTGTATGACGCGGCCCGGGATCGAACCCTGGACCTTCCGCTCTCCGGGCGGACGCTCTACCACTAGACCACGGAGGCGGTGTTCCATCCGGGATTCGAACCCACACTCTTAGGGTGTGAAACGTAATTTCCAGCACACAAAGTCAGCGATCTGACCCACTCAGCCACCGAGGCTTCCACAAAAATGAAAGTCCGACAACTGGCAGTCTAGACCACACATTACATTTGACCACTTTCTAATTGCCATTGTGAATTCATGTCACATTTACATCATGAAAAATAAATGTAAGTTATAGGGGGCAAACCATTTTTTTTGCATTCAGTGGTTGTACAGTGGAGTTTCTATGGAAGTAAATTATAGTGGCCAGATGTGAAAATTAGAAAAAAGGCTCTTATATACAGTAGTATATCTCGATATGTGAAATGTTAAGGAATTCGTATTATTGTTTCACCTCATCAACATTCAGTCATTGACAAGTAAAATAGTGTCCTTGCTAAATAATATGTCCGTATCATATAGTTGTTTCCCCCAAATCCTGTCAAAATAATATATCCTGCTAATAATATGACAGGGAGGAATGCATACACCTGCCTATATTCCGTTAAAAAAGTAGGGTATCATAAAATATATACGTTAATACCCAGTAATAGACCAAAGATAAGTGTTGACAACCATCCTATGCAAGAATGTTCACGTCTGTAAAACGTAATTATATACAAAAACACACCCTTTCGTTTGCACGTGCGTAGGGTGTCATTCCTGATTTTGACACTTTCAAAAAAGGTCGTTTAATATCATTAATTATATAATTAATGGACCTTATTTCTGTCAATCGTTTTGAATCTGGTTATCATACAGTTGTGAGCTACTTGAGTCCATTCATTGTTTGAGTATGAACTATTGACAAGCTGGAACCTGGCAGTTAGCGTGCAGTGACCAATACGTTCAATGTTTCACTGTCTGTGATTAGCAGACTATTGAACAGGTACCAAAAACCCAAAATGTTGACGATTGACCCTGTTCAGGGCGTCTCAGGTCCACGACGAGAGTCTCGTCTCGTCTCGTCTTACCGCTTTCACGCGGCAGATATCGGTATTTTATTTAAAGATATCAATCATGTTTTTAAGATATAAAAAAATAATTAAAGATATCTTAAATTCATTTCTGATATCCATAATACAATTACTGATATCTTAAAATGTTATGGTGATATCAACAAATTAGTTTGTGATATCTCTAAATGTATTTAAAATATCATTAAACAATTACCATCCTACTGTACATAAACATATTAGAAATAAATTCAAGATATCTTAAATTCAATTCAAGATATCTTGAAATAAGTTATACATATCCACAAATGCATTACAGATATCTTTAATTCAATTAGAGATATCTTTAATTCAATTCAAGATATCATTAATTCTGACCGTTACTGATATCAAACATCCAATTAAAGATACCATTAATACTTTTGATGATATCTTTATATCAATTATTGGTATCGGTTATCTAATTTAAGTAACATTATTAATGTAACATCTTTAATAATGGCAACAATTGAAGATATCAATAATTAATTACTGATATCTGTATTTAGTTTCAAGATATCAGGAATTGAATTAATGACATCATAACAAAACATGACATTTTGATATCTTTAAATCATATTTTGATATCATAAATCGAATTTAAGATATCAGCATTTCTTTTCAAGATATCTTCAATTCCATTCAAGATATCTTCAATTCATTTCAAGATATCTTTAAAACAATTGAAGATATCTTAAATTTTATTGCAGATATCTACAATTATCTGCATTTAAGATATCTTCAATTCCATTCAAGATATCTTCAATTCCATTCAAGATATCTTCAATTCATTTCAAGATATCTTTAAATCATTTGAAGATATCTGTAATTCCGTAATAAATGTGAAAACGGCTTGCCATACGGCCGTAATTGAAGGCCATGAAGCAATGACCCCTCTGGGCCACCATATCAGTTGAAGGTCTAGATCTATCGTCATTTCTCCTAAAAGTCGAGTGCACGATCCCGACTAAAGTATATCGTCAGCATGTGTTTCTGATGGGCAAAATAGGAAAATACATCCGCGATAATGTATTTCTGTCTTCATACTCGAGATGACTACTTTTCAAATACAGTAAACAACGGTTATAACGAACACGCTTATAACGAACTGACCGATATAACGAACATATTTCTTAGTCCCGGCCATTTGTTGTATATACATGTATGCTGTATATATGCTTATAACGAACTACGGTTATAACGAACTAAAACTAGTGGTCCCTTTGAGTTCGTTATAACCGTAGTGTACTATATATGCAATAAACAAAACTGTTTTTTAAATATCTTTTGCATAATTATTCAATTTGGCGAGTAAATGCTAATTCATAATACATATCAGTTTGCGAATCCTTTTGATTACAGAGATTCGACTAACTTATGCTAACCGGTAACTTTGTTTTATCAAAATGTGCTACAAATATCCCCGTGAGTGCATGTTACACTGCTTTGATTCTTGCAACATTAATACCATGTCCGTCTTAACAGGAAGGTCTGAAGGTCAGTTGCACTGTCAAAGTGAAGAAAATGACATTTAGTTAAATACATATTTTTTATATTTATATTTATGTATAGCTACCTTTCGCATTCAATCCGATCCTAGTTGATGTCCTTAAAACACTCCTATCACCTGAATTATGACAGGCAGTTATGCTGTTGCCAGACGCATTCGGTCCAGCAAAGCAAGGTTCCTAATACACGAGGCACAAGGATACTGTTATCTCGGATATAAACCTTGAGTCAGTTGTGATTACTGTCAGCTTCTATGTCCGGAAGGGATATTTATAAACTTTGAGTCTTTTTGCATCCGAACAGCGTATGTAGGTCATAGAAGCTCCAACCTTTGGTGTCTACATTTCAAAGTTAAAGGTACAATCGAGCAATATTTTTTAGGAAGATTCCAAAGAGCGTCATGATCATACCTCTCTTGTCTGATCAAGGTTACACAATTCAAGGCCTTAGTAAAGCTTTAAAAAGATTTGATGGTGGACAGGTGGAGGACATTTCCAAATAAGACGCATCAGGGACAAAGATGTTGTCCGATGTAATTCCCTATCTTGACGTGTACTACATGCTCCCGTGTGTTTTTCAGGTGAACATTTGACTTGCCTTTGCATGTGTTTTTGATGGGTGTCACCAGTGGGTCTGGATATCTTTTTGCGTACACGGTATATCATCAACATTTGATAGGGATTCATAAACACATGCACAGACTATTGTCGGAATCGTACAATGGACTCTGCTTTTAGCGGTTTTCTCATGATTATGAAAGGGTTTTGTGACTCTTATTTATCACACAATGGATAGTGTTATCAATGCGATAAACCAACCTATGTCATTGAAATCATAACTTCATATTAAAAAAACAATATGTTCCTGAAAACCCAACGACCCGTGGAGATCCGGGGTAGAATAGGTCTTCAGCAAACCATGCTTGCCATAAAAGACGACTATGCTTGTCGTAAAAGGCGCTGACATGGTTGATGCATGTGATCGATCCCAATTGCGTGGATCGATGCTCATGATATTAATCACTGGGTTGTCTGGTCCAAACTCGACTAGTTACAGACCGCCGTCATATAGCTGGAATATTGCTGAGTGCAGCGTAAAACAACAAACCAACCAACCAAATGAAAACCCTACAGAAAGTTAAAACACATATGTGACGTCATTCTATTGTTTGAACGCTCCATTATTTTTCAGGAATGGAGAGTTGCTTGTCAACTGTACATTATCTTGAAGCAGCATTTGAATTTTTCAAATATTTTCAACTACAGAATATTTTGTCAAAGTGTAAAAGTAGGGATGAGTTTTAAGTAGGGGAATATCCTCGTAACTCTCCATTCCTTAAAAATAATGGGCCTCGGCCCCTGCGGGGCCTCTGCTCCATTATTTTTAAGGAATGGAGAGTTACTCGGACATTCCCCTCTACATAACTACGTCTCAGGTTTTTAAAAGAAAAAACAACTCTTGTCACTGGGCATGATGCATGTCCTGAAATGGTTCCCCAAAATATTGTTCAGCACCTCAATCATATATTATATAGTTTCTTAAGCTTACGTGGGCTTGCCAGAAACCTATGATCTTTGGTTCGAATCCAGATTCATGGGTTTAGGTTTGTCAGCACCATGCCCGTGCTCGTTAATGTCACCAAAGTCGTACACCAAAGTCGTATATCCCTTTCGGTTCCCCGCCCCCACATAAAGCTAACACGCCGAGATATGACTGAAATACTGTTCAAAGGGGCGTTAAACCAAACCTGGTCACTCACTTTAACAAACAAATAATGCCGATGTATGGCTATAAAGTACTGGCGATATATCTGTTGTCATACTTACTTTTGGGAAAGCCGTTTTACATCCTCATAACACAATTTGATGTATGGGTGTGTTCTGTTTACCAGGACAACACAACTTCGAAACGAAGCTAAAAATAAATTTCTAATTGGGTTGGTATCTTTCATATCTATTAACAACGTGAGGGACAAAGGCTGGCGTTTGAATTACAAGGAAAATATTTTATCCATGAATAGAACAAAGTTTGACATCCGCGTTCAAAGGTCATATGCATAGACGACCCAGATAAGGAAAGAGTTGACAAACAAACACACAGTTGGTCCCTGAAGCTGTCGGCGAAATCATGCCGTCTTGTAAACAAGACATATCTCAACACAGATCACCGAAACCCTGATCGCACTGAAGTTCCGTCCACTGATGGGTCGGTCTAAGAATATAAGGACATGATTATTCATATTCATTATTCATAAATAAGGACATTTGAAATCCGTACAGTTTCAACGAGAACGGTACGGCCCGTATTAACGGGGTTCACAATACATGTGATCAGCATCGGTATGTTTTAGGGTACTCATGGTTGTAATCCCGATTCCCCCTTACTATGTTTCACGTTTTGTAAGCATCATCTCGTGGCCTGAGACCTGTATCACTTAGCGCCGCGATTCGCTGTGCAGAGTTGCGTCCCTTTGACACACCAGAAACCTATGATACTGGGTTCGAATCCCGGCTCGCCCCGATTATGTTTCTAGGTTTGTCAGCACCATACCCGTGCTCGTGGGTTTCACCGAAGTGGTAAACGTCTGAGACCTGCATCACTTGGGGCTTTCCTCCCACATTAAGCTGCCACGCCGTGATATAACTGTTATAGTGTTAAAAGTGACGTTAAACCCAACTCACTCACTCACTCACTGACATATTTTTCTAAGCGGCGTTAATCCCATTTCACTCACTGACTTAACCCAGATGTACACAGCACCCCTCACATACATACTCAGTGTGGTTTAAAAGCGCATTTTCCCACTCGGTCCAGGGTTATATAACTTCCTCGGCGCTCTATTGCTTGTGAGAGCCAGCTTCACTGAAACGGATTGGTGAGTCTTGGTGACACGATAGCATGGGCCATTGCTCATAATATCAATCACTGGGTTTTGTGGTCCAGACACGACTAAATACAGGCAACAATCATAGAGCTGGACTGTAACAACCACCAACAAATAGAACCATACACAAGCGACTGGGAAGGCAACACACTATAAGGACTTACATCCGCCCTAAGGTTTTCCTTTGTCGAGAGCATATTGTGCATACTTGTAGAATACGCGAAGCTCCATCGTCGCCATTCGTTATAGAGCGGGGTGCTATGATTAGATCATTGTGCGTCTAACGCAACTTGACATTGTCGACGTTTCATAAATTGTTCCTAATATAAACCGCGGGGCAAAAGAAAGTATACACTTGAAAACTATGTGTTAGCCAAAACGTACAAACAGTATCAAAACGTTACTATGTTGCAACAGTCGAAACACTGTAAACCGAAACACAGCTTTGTCACCCGTTTCAAATACATCACCATCGAATAAATACCAATTGCAAACAACTTGAACAGCATTATCAGTTTTATCACGAAACCAAAAGCAAATTTGTGGAACGGAAATAACGTTAATGGACATATGATTTTATTACTGTTTGCTTTATTTTCCAAATTGGGTCATTTTATTCTACATGTGTCCTTACTCTCACGTATCACGACCAAGGACCGCTGTTGGTTCTGTTTTCACGATTTACTTCCTGCCTTAGTCGATAACCTTGATATATTATTCCATCTGTGAATGGTGCTTGGGTCTAATTTCTTATATGCACATGTACGTATTAATATTAAAAATCGAAAGAATTATCATTTAATATGCAAAGCTCTGGGTCTTTTTTTATTCAAAACTCATGGTGATACTACCTGAAATATTTATGTCACAAAGACGTTCCAATCCCAAACCACGATTATGATATGATATATGATATGATATGATATGATATGATATGATATGATATGATATGATATGATATGATATGATATGATATGATATGATATGATATGATATGATTCCATCTCTCATACCACTTGCATTTGCGTCCAACAAATGGCGGCGCTCAGTCAAGACGATCTGATCGAATCACTCGACGGACACCTGCATGTTGAAATCCATTTTGTTTACAAACCGGATTTCAATTTTTTTAGGCGATTTTGGTTTGACTATGCAGAGCCAAAATGTTACTCCGGAATACAAGTCTAGTTAGGCAAGGGTGACAACTAGACTTTAATAGTCAGTTAACTTCCTTGCCTCGGGAAGATGATCAAATAATGTCATATATGTTCAGTCCTTTAGGACCTAGAAAAACTATATCGTGTATTTCAACATATCTATTTTTCATATTTATTTACTGGTTTTATGACTGTAAAACTATCTCCAGCGACATTGGATAAGGAAATACAAACATATCATGTATGGTCTTCCAGAAATTTATTGTAAGGCATTAAACGTAACACTATCGTCTTTTCCAAAAACATTTGAAAATACCGACATTAAAACACTCTTGTCGAAACCTTAGGCTCATGAATCCGAACACCGAAGGGTTAATCGCTGAACTGATGAAGTACGACCGAATTAGGATGTTGTACGTCACAAACCATACCCCATTAGGATGAAATGTCAAAGGTAGAAAACTGCGCACCGCCATGATTACAGCAAAGGGGAGATAACTCAGTATGAAGGCAAAGGTCACCGTAAAAGCAATGACGGTTATGCGTTTACCCCGGATTGATTTGTGCTTTGGGTTTCCTACATCTGGTACTTCTTCATCTTGAAAATCGGAATTGGTGCTTGAAATATTTCCTCTCTTTGAATTTTCATGGAGAACAAATTGTGTGTTGTTACAGGTGTTCTTTTTATGTTTCCGTATTTCTCTCCAAACGTGGATATACATATAGCATATAGCCACAGATATAAGTAACATGACACTTCCTCCAAATATCTGGTAAATAAAGGGGAATATTGAACCCTTCATATTGTCACTTGTTGTACAATCGTGTCCATACAGTCCATCTATACTTGTTTTCACTGTTCGTTTTCCATATATTAACACAGCTGGTAAAGAAAAAAAGATTGCAGCAGCAGTTGCTATGGTAACATACTTCCTGGAGTCCCTAAATGTCATTTGATTTGACATGGGCTTACACACCCGTTTGTATCTGTCTATTGTAATGATCAGCAACACAAAGGCTGAGTCGATGTTGGGAAATGCTACAATAAAGCGAAATATTTTACATGTTACTTCACTCTCAAAAAGGTAAAAATAGCGCATGTCCATGATTTCGAAGGGCATGGCCAATGTGCAGTTCACCAAGTCCAGTGCCGCGAGGAAGACGAGAAGAAACGTATTGACAGACAAAGGGATCTTTTTTGTGAATATGTAGCACACTAAAATGTTCCCAAAGAATCCAGTCACCATTATAAATCCTACAAATGCCATGGCAGGGATTAGAGTCTTTGCCATGTTTTCGTTTTCCTCCCACAAGAGGTCCTCCTTTGATACTGAATCATTTGGTTGGCTGATGTTGAATGCCGTCATGATGGTATTCAGAGACGATGCCTTGAAAATGTCTGGAACCGGAGAATATGTTTCTTAAGTAAACACACCAACATGTAACATTTTGCATTTGGACAAATATGACAAACGTAATAGGAGGCAAAACATTGACTGTAATAAAAAATAGTAGTTAAAAATTAAAGAGATGTGAAAAACATAAATGACTTTGATAAACAATAATACAAGTGGGAAATGTGTAGGAAAGTAGGAACTTCTTGGACCTCAGTATTCACGCAGAATGCTGTAGTTCTGAAGAACCAACCAATTACACAATCAGAAGAATGTCAGACATATCCACATATGTTGTCGCCCATAATGATAATTGTGATTGTGACATAAACCTTATGACATATCAGGTAGAACTGTTGAATAAAACGAGGTCATATAATTCATGTTCAATATGGACACAGTTGAAGTTAAGTGAAGACTTTAAAAGAAATCGCCAATCTAGCAAAATATTAATCCTGCGCCATGACTACTGTGGAATATATAAAAGTCTAGATCAAACTGAACCAAGTCTAGTTTCCTTTGTTCCACAACAGAAAATAACTGAAGAGGAAAGGTTCTTTTAAAAAAAATTTTTTTTAATGTTTTCATAACAAAGTGTTAGTCCAGCAAAATATCACCACATACCGTCATTAACGTAACAATGTTATTGTACATGCGTGGGCTTCTAAATATGCAATGACATACACAATTAAGCATTGAAACACCCGAGAATTTTGAGAATATATTTTTAATAAAAATGAGTACTATCTAAGATTGAGATCATTTTTACATGATCAATGTAAATACGTCTGCATAATTACATTAATTTCTACCCGTGAAGATCCGGGGTAGAATAGGTCTTCAGCAACCCATGCTTGCCTTAAAGGCGACTATGCTTGTCGTAAAAGGCGACTAACGGGATCGGGTGGTCAGGTTGATGCATGTCATCGATCCTTATTGCGTGGATCGATGTTCAAGATGTCAATCACTGGATTTTCTGGTCCAGACTCGATTATTTACAGACCGCCGTCATACAGCTGGAATATTGCTGAGTGCGGCGTAAAACAAAAAACAAACAAAAAAACCCATTAATTTCTCAATCAATCTTGCAAATTTACAAGGAATCTTACATTATATACTTCAAGGCCTGAGGTTAAGCCGCAAATGAATGCAAGAAGCATTCATCACACGTATCTCCATTAACCTCTGTTGTACCATTATGAAACAGATGCCACGGTTTCTGAATCAAGTGAAGATGCAGCGGGTCTCAGTCCATATTATCATAAGCTCGTTACTGTTTGCACTTACTGATAAAGCACGACGGCCTGTAAATTATCGCATCTTGACCAGAAAAAACCCAGTGATTGATACCATGAGCAACGATCCATTTCATAGGGGTACGATGCAGCTCCATCCACCAAGTCACCGAGTCTGACCACCCGATTTTATCGAAAGAAAACAAATTGCCCCAGAAAAGTCTTAAAAAATAATTATGCTTCAGACATAATTGAAAATAAAGATTTGTCGCCACCAAAAAATACATTGTAGCAGGTGTCTCTTTAAAGATATTATTCAGGCTCAAAGTTATTAAAAATATACCTGGTTTTGCAACCCTAGATGAAAAATGATCTAATCTCTTTACAAAATTCATACAAAATCCGAAAAGCATAGCATGCTGGGAATAATGTCTCACCCGGAATCCCATGTAATAGAATCAAAGACTATTCAACTTTATTCTTGAAAATGACCCGATTCCTTAAAAAATAATTAAGATGGATTGATTAATAAATTTATCACCCCATTGCAATATCAAAGCTTTGACTTCATGCATTGATATCTTTTTAAAACAAACACACACTCTTCATTCCAAAATTAGTATTTAGCTCCATAGTATTCTGATGTAAACGATGCATACATGCATAAGGCAGAAATAGTATAGTACCACGACTTACCTTCGTATTAGATCGGAATCCTTATCCCAAATCGATAACCATGTTCTTTCCTCTATCGCTGCTTGCATAATGATAGTCAATAATTGTTGTGTGTCGTATGAGTTCCGGTAATATCTCGATCTCATCTCATATAGAGCAGCAAATCACGTCCATGATTTCATCTCGTGAGACTCCACGAGACGGGTCATCCATGACTGTATCTGCATGCTTGCAGCATAGCCAAGTCTTGGTACAAGGCAGACTGATTTAACAGTTGAGAGGAAGTTCATTCAGTTCTTACAATGTCATAAAACTTCAGCGTAGCGCTGTCTGCATAGCTGTATACACAGGCCCCTCGACATAACGCAGGATGTTATTAAATGAACTCATTTCAGAGAGAGACGTGCCTCGTATACACATGCTGCGTAATGTTCCTGGATGTACAGCAGACGTTACTCGACAATATTCCCTCACTATAACGCAGATTTCTACATTTCAGAAAATGATTGAAGCTGAAGGGGTGTCAAACCTGCAAAGGTATTTACGTTGCTTAACAATGTTTTCATAGCTGTTGCTGATAGAATAAAGTCATCGGATAAAACATAGAGGTTCAGTCTTGTTTACATTTCCGTTTTCATGAACCAGGTAGGGAGTTGGACTTGTTGAGTTGGAGTTGGCGATGCTTTGAACAGTATTAATATTACGTTATATCAGGGCGTGTCAGTTAAGTCTCTGTTTGTTTGTTTGTTTGTTTGTTATGTAACGCCATATCATCATTATGCCAGCTATATGACGGCGGTCTGTAAATAATCGAGTCTGGACAAGACAACCAAGTGACTGACATTATAAGCATCGATCTTCGCAGCTGGGATACGATGACATGCGTCAACCAAGTCAGCGAACATGACCACCCGATCCCGTTAGTCGTCTCGTACGAGAAGCATAGTCGCCTCTTAGGGCAAGCGTGGATCCCGGATCTTCACGGATCGTGTTTATTTTGGAAGAAAGCCCCGAGCCCCAACTGGTGTAGGTCTTAGACATTGACCTCATTGGTGACAAAAACAAGAATCATAACGGGGGTGAATCTTGTGTTCTATCCACGATCTTATGATTCTGACACTCCTAATTAAGGGACCTATGGAAGCACATAGATTATTCGTCTGTCTCCAGATCCTAAAGACTATATTAAACAAGGAACCACAGCCAAGTCTAGAGTGATTTATATTGCCTATGATCTGAAATTAAGCATTGTTCTGGGCTCCATTTGAATTTTACTTTTTATTTTGTGGATACTAAATGTTGGTGAAAACGCGTATCTACTCATTCATGTACCTATATACTTCATCCTTGTACCCAGGCTCGCTGACTTGGTTGATGCATGTCATCGTATCCCAATTGCGTGGATCGATACTCATGATGTCAGTCACTGGATTGTCTGGTCCAGATTCGATTATTTACAGACCGCCGTCAAATAGCTAGAATATTGTTGATCGCGGCGTTAAACAACAACAACAACAACAACAACATTCTTGTACCAGTGTATAATGAACGTTATATTTATGGAAACATTATAATTGGTAAGATTCGTTGGCGGTTTGAGATATCTTTACATGTGTTAATTGTTAAATGATTAACAATACTAAACAAATGAAATTCATCTCGCTTTTGCTTACACAATGAATACAAGGAGCAAAATAAGGTTTTCCCGTGGCCTAACAACAATGTCAATTACAACATACCACATATCAAATTATTACTATGATGGTTGCGGTCATTGCGTCGACTTGACAGGAGGCCGACTTTAGAGCGCATCCTGTCGATATGCTGTGGGTTACAAATGTCGCCGGGATATCGCTGTAATGTTGCTGTCTAAAGCGTAAGTAATAGTTCCCATTCACACAAACATCATTACGGTCAGTGTAAGAATTATTTTGATTATTTCATCTGGCGTGTCCCAGTTATATACAAGCGAACATAGGGAAATAGTTACCTTGGTCAGGCACACGTGAGCAAAGTTACTTTTTCCAAACCTGTTCAAATCTGGTTGTCTTACTAATTCAACACGTCACCATTAAAAAGGCGACTAGGTCAACAATGTCGAAACAACGTGCACGAGGACTGAAATGGATGGAACAGATGTGATTAAGTCGTAAGGAGTGAGTGAGCTGGGTTAATTTGTTTGTTTGTTTTTTAGTTGTTTAACGCCGCACTCAGCAATATTACAGCTATATGACGGCGGTCTGTAAATCATCGAGTCTGGACCAGACAATCCAATGACTGACAACATGAGCATCGATCCACTCAATTGGGATACAATGACATGCATCAACCAAATCAGCGAGCATTACCACCCGATCCCGTTAGTTCACGGTTGATCCGGGTTAACGTGGTTTTGAATATTAATTGAGTTACATCACGACGTGTCAGTTTGATGTGGGAGGAAAGCCCGAAATGATGCAACTATTCGACACTTACCGCTTTGGTGAAACCCACGAGCTTTGGTTTAGTTCTGACAGACCTAGAAACATAGCAGGGTAGACCGTGGTTCGAACCCATGATTATAGGATTCTCGCTGTTATAAGAGAAGCATCTCTACACAACAAATTCTGGCGTTTTAGATGACTAGGCCACCCGTAGCCCACCCACACTGAGATTATTGTCTAGTGGCGGAGGTCGTGTACCGTTAGTTGTTATTTATATCCGTCCACCCGGAATTCCGAGTTATACTGGTTCTCAGTAAACTATGTTGGCCGTAAGAGCCGAAGTTATTCGTGGATCGGGTGGTCAGACTTGGTTAATTGTGTGGCATCGTACCCCGACGGCGTGCTACAAAATGTTGTTTTAGTACAGGCATACAATTAGATAAATAATCATATTTTTTTACGTTATATGCTGAGTGCTTAACTGTTTTATGTGTGTATACACAAAGAATTGAACTGGATTTTCATTTGGTAGTGACTTCAAGTGAAAGACTTGGTGAAATACGTGAGTGAGTGAGTGAGTGAGTGAGTGAGTTGGGTTTAACGCCGCTTTTAACAGTATTCCAGTTATATTGCGGCGTGTCAGCTTAATGTGGGAGGCAAGCCCGAAGTGATGCAGGTCTCAGACGTTTACCACTTCGTTGAAACCCGCGAGCACGGGTATGGTGCTGACAAACCTATAAACATAATCGGGGCGAACCGGGATTCGAACCCACAATCATATGTTTCTGGCGTGCCCAAGGGACGCAACTCTGCACAGCGAATCGCGGCGCCTTAGACGACTGGGCCACCCGTGCCCCCTGGTGAAATACGAACCCCTATGATGAATAGATTCCAGCATCATTTTATGGTAAGATGTGTGGCCAGGCTTGTTGTGTGTCATCATATCCCGACGGCACGGATGGGTGCTCATGACATCAACCACTAGTTTGCTAACCCAGATCGCTTCTTCATACCGACGTTATATACTGGAATATTCCTCTCTTAAAACAACTCTCGTTCATTCACGGGTGTATTTTAAATGAAAGAGTAACATTAACTACAACTTGAGGGTAGACATGTTAAAACCCTCATCTACGTGGTCATAGAAAGCTTATCTGAACAAAAGGATGTCTATTTTGCGAGTCTTCGAATGAACATGTTTAGCTTACTACGCTTCGTCGTTGTTATAACGGGGTTTCTCAAAGAACTTTGATTTTAGCGTAAAAAGGGTAATGTACTTTCCATCTGTCCAAATATTTCACGCCGAGAATTTGCAAGCAGGTCTCATCATAACGTTTCCAGCTGACGGTAACGTTAAATCGCACCTCAGAGTATACATGTAATGTACATAGATAGACACCCATGGTTACTTGTGTTGTCTGTACAAACACCAAGCCAGATTCAAAATGTTTCACAAACAACCTACATAATGTTTGAGCTGTGAGACGAACGAAAAACAATTATTATTAATATTATTATCATCATCGTCGTCGTCGTCATCATCTACATCATCATCATCAGCATCATCATCATCATTACTATTATTATTTACAGATTAAAATAAAAAATGCAGCAGAGAGGGTTTGGGTGATCCTGGCACGGTCAGGCTGGTTAGGCTCATCATCAGCACAGGGCCCTTGCCACCTCCACACGCAGCCTAGACATCGAATGGGACTTCTCCCAGGAAGCGCTGCCTGTCAAACCCAACAAGAACTTTTCGGAGAATGTGGAGACTCCCCAACACTGCAGCCTTCTGCATTACCCAGATTGTCAGAAGGGCTGTATTCCTGGTAGCAAACCCGGGTACTCTCCCAATGTCAGTCAACAGAATGGGAGGTACCAAACCTAAGGCACCGAGAACAATGTGGAGTCGGATAACTTGGTACTTGGGATGCAAGCGTGTCATTTCGAAAGCGAGGTCCGCATGTTTTTCCTGAATCTTGTCAATCACATTAGTGTCAAAGGGGACAGAAAAATTCAATGATATGAATGATTTCATTGGATTTATCAAAAAGGACAACATCAGTTTTGTTGGCATGGATACGTCTACATATTCCATGGGTGGACCTCTGTGTCAGAACCACAAGCATGGCGAAGACGGTAATAAAATGATCGAGCTACACCATCATGTCGTTTAAGATACTGTGTCTGTGCCAAAACTGGGCATTCACTGACAATGTGTTGGACAGTCTCATTAAATTCATTCCATAATCTACATTTCATATTTACATTTTGATGCAAAATCACACATTGCCGGTTTCGAGTGGGAAGTGACTGGTCCTGAGCAGCAAACAGAAAGCCTTCTGTTTCCCTTTTCAGGCCAGCCGACCTCATCCAAGCGAAGGACACTGTATGGTTGCTGACCTTCTCAACACACTGCACATAAACTCGATGCAGTGGTCGTTCAGATAGCCTCTCCTTGAAACACTGAGTCTGGGCCGACTCGATATGGCATTTCGCTTGGTTGACACTCATTTCCGTACCGTCCAACAGTACAGAACTAT